GCGTGTCGTCGCAGGAGCCAGCGGGTGCTCGGGGAACGTGCGTCCCCTTTCCTGGGAGAAAGGCGGGTGGCTGGAGCTGGGAGTAGCGTGGCGTTCAGCCAGGTTCTCCGGTGCTGCCCCGAGGACAGCTCTGGGTGTTCACTGATGACCACAGTCGGGGCGCTGACTCATGCTGGAAACCAAAAAGTTCTTGTCCTTCCCACGGGAAGCAAGATAACTGCTCAGAGGCAGACCCAAGGTTTGCTGTGGACCAGGTCCAAGGAATAGGGTTCCTCACCTACCGAGCCTTGGGTCAGATTTGAGGGTTAATGACTAACCCGGCTCGTTTCGTGGGACGTGCAGCAAAGCCGCTCGCTGCGTTCTGCAGCACACGTTGAGTGCTGGTGAAAGACAGTGAAGAGCCTGCTCGCATGCCATGTGCCTCTGGCTTCGGATTGTGACTCTCGTTTCCTGTTACAACAAGCGCAGCTTCGAGCTCTGGCATGGGACAGGAACTGAAACGCTGTCTCTGCCTGAAAACAACACCTCTCCGATCAGATTTGCTGGGAGCCTTTATCTCCCTCTCTCGCTCAGCGGACGTAGAGTCCACCTCTTTTTCCTGTAGCTTCCTACTGATACCGTAACGGGACAGACTTTTTATAAATACCGGTGGGTTTGCTACGTCTAAATATTGCTACACACCAACAATGCCACTATCAAGTCTTTTTTGGCAGTGGAGCACTTCCTCCCACGAACCGTGTTGAAGCAAGATGTAAACAACGTGCATGCAGCGATACATCACATCACTCTCTGCTCAGAAAAGGAGGTGTCTGAGGACCATCCGCTTTCTGATAAAACCGTCTGTAATTTATGGGTTTGATCCCAAGGCAAGGCAGTTTACTTGTGACACGTCTCGGCTGTCATTCCAGATGGATTTGTGCTAACCCGGTGGCTCTCAGGCTCTTTCTTCAGGAAAGTCCCTTTTCCCATCTGGAGGTCGTCGCCTTCCCACCCACGTTTCGCATGAGAAGAACAGCAGTTCTGCTCCTGCGACGTCTCCTTGAGGCTGCAGACAGGAACGGCTGTTCCCTTCCTGGCTCTCATCCACAAGTCATCCTTTTAAGGGTCGAAGTTTCTGCTCCGAGCAAGCCGGCCAGCTGCTATCGGCTTCTGACAACAGCGGGATGAAAGACTGCCATTGTCTGCTAGCGCTCAGCCTTGACACCAGGTGAAGATGTTGCCTTTCCCCAGAATGCTTTTTTTTAAAAATGTGACTTCTGTTACTGTTCGGTGTGAGGCATCAGTACCAAACAGCCTTGGTTTAGTTGTACTAAAATAAAAAGGATCCTTCCTAACAGAGCTGCAAGCAGGCAGTCGTCATTTCAAAGTCCAGCAGTGCCCCGTATGAATCAGACTGCATTTTAATTACTGTTCCTTCAAATCATCTCCGGCTAGCGCAGAGCACTTGAACTCTACTCCAGGCCTTCTTGATTAAACATCTTTACAAATCAAGTAGATTAATTGTCCCGATATGTTCAAATATTAGATGTAGCAGAGTGTAACTTGGGTTTAGGTCAGGTTAAGCAGTTTCTGAATGTGAGCCTGGAGGTGTTGGACAAAGTGGAACGAAACAACCAAGTCGCTGAAGACTCTGGTGAAGTCTGTTTCTGTGGTCAGATACATCACCAGCTCAGCCCTGCGACATTACTTTTCTTCAGGTGCAGAGGCATCTTCTTGGCATGCCAGCTCCAAACCCTGCTCGGTTAGAGCACCCCGCCTGCAAAATTTCATGAGCTTAATGAGAATTCAGCATTATTCATTCACTAGAAATACGCTCAGCTCAACTGTGGCAGCAATTTCCCTCTCTTTCTGTAAAATCTGATGGATGTGTTGGTGCTGCATTTCTGCTCTCGCTGTGCTCATTGGAGTGCTGTGATTGCGTTCTCGCTCCTGTTTCCAGGTGAGGGGCTCCTTTGTCCTTTTCCACTCGGTGCAAACGCTGTGCAGTAACGTGGCAGTTACACGTGCCTGTTAATGGGAGAAGTAGTCCCTAGGAGTACTGGGTGAACAGAGAATGACATAATTGTTTCTCTTTTCTGCATAAAATATTTCTGCCTGTTTCTCATGTTTTGGAGGTAGCTACTTGCTGAGTTGTTGGATAATGTGTAAACCCTGCGTTTTCTGTCAGTAGCTTGATTCACTAAGGGAAACTGTGACTTTGATTGATGTCTGATTGGGGACAAAAATACTCATCAGGAACTGAGTGTTTCAGTGTGGGACGGTATCAAAGTTACTACTATCATTTCTGTATTCAGGCAGATGATAAAGTCAAGATTGTGCAACTTGGTATGTTAATTTGCTCTTCATAACATTTCACAGGAGCAGGAGAGGGGCATGGATCTATCTGTGGATTAATATACTCTTGCACCGCATTACGCATGTCTGTTGGGCTAATGTCACAAGCTTTCTGGGACCAAACACTGCTGGAGCCAGAGGAGAGACCGCTGTTCACTCCAAAGAGCTGTGGCTCAGACCCGTACTGCAGATCACAGGTGAAGTTCTGGTCCTAATCTCAAGTTCCCCACCGACTTCAAGAGGACAAGAGCTGTGCTTAGCCTGGGTTTTCTGATACACAGGGATGCTCGTCTGACACTGGAAAAAACCTCCTTCAACTGCAGCAGGAAACAGGGAAAACAAGAGTGTGAGGACTGGAGCATCTCTCCTGCGAGGAAAGGCTGAGGGAGCTGGGCTTGTTCAGCCTGGAGAAGAGAAGGCTGAGAGGGGACCTTAGAAATGCCTCTAAATATCTGCAGGGTGGGGGTCAGGAGGACGGGGCCAGACTCTTTGGGGGGTGTGGAGTCTCCTTCTCTGGAGATACTCAAGACCCGCCTGGACGCGGTGCTGTGCAGCCG